AGACGTTGTGTTATAGTAAGTCTCAAAGAAAACTTATTGAGTTTCTAAAGTATTAGCGAAAGCGGTTGGTCATACTGAGACTATAAATAAAGGAAAGATTTAATATCTTCTATTACTACAACTTGTAGCGGGGTGATATGTATGTGAATAGCTACCCGCTTATTCTCTTGTTTGTACTACACAAACAAAAGAATGCCACAATAAAGAGAAGTTTATTGATATAAAAATCTATATCATGATAAACTTGGAGTTTATTGATACTTGCACACATCATTGGTGTAAACCTGAACTTTATCAATATTGATAATATTCAGCTGGCATAATTGGTTTACCCATATCAATTTAAGTATGATGTGCAAAAATAAAGAGAATTCACATGGGTAAATATTAACGAACTAGAAAGTTCTTTACGAATTCTCTATATTTGCTTGTTCTCATTAATTAATATACCAACTAAAATGGGATTGAATCCCATGAATGCTGGAATAATCAAAGGTGAATATGGGCCTATTCACCTGCCATGTATTACCACATAAAGATGCGTTCTATGAGATGGTTACATGTGCGATTATTAATAACCCGCAACATGGTGCTTGCGAGGTAACTTGCTCAATAATTTAATTTCGAGCATAATTTCCAGATTTTCTATGCAAGAAGTTCATTTTGATAAGTTGATTTACATCACAGTTGGTTTAGCAAAATAATTTATTAAGTGCCTCTACTTAATAGCTAAACATGCTTATGAGAACAAAGTTATCTTTTATCAATTTGATATACGTATACTATACACACAAGTATATTATTTTCTCCTCTCACAAGTGGTTCAGGGTCAGGAACCAAATAATTCCATCTTATTATAATTGATGTTGCGGTGTATATTTTGATTAACACCATAACGCACAAAGGTGAGTTCTCAAAGTTGCGGAAACAAGTAAGTTTTTCTAACATGGGGGGGAGACAGATAAAATGAGAAAAGGTTACGTGGAATGGAATTATTCATTTGTACATCTAGATCCTCGAATAAGATAATATGAACTTGAAGTTCAAAAAATGATAATTCATTTGCAATATATTGCAAAGCATGCGACGCATTTGCCGGCCCAAAGAAAGTAACTATATTCTCACTGCAAATGCTCCTATTAGAATAAGTCCTAGAGACAAAGTCTATGGTACGCTTAAAGCGTATAGACAAAATCGGTTTCAAATAAACTTCTTGATGAAGAAGATGAGCAAAATGATAAAAATGATCATAATAAAGGAGGCAAGTGATCTAGAAGATCACATGACATAACACTTCATAAATCTCATGAGAGATTCAGGTACTGAAAATATAAATGAAGAGATCTCTATGTTATGTCTTTATGATAAAAAAAAAGGTTGGAACCAATATAAATATTCGTCGACGACATCTATGAATAGCGCTAAGTATAGGCAAGAATTTAAGTCTGTCGAATACAGACACAAAAAATTGGCCAAATAGAAGAGACACAATTCAAATAGAATTGGTGTCATATGAAGACATGTAGTTCAAACATTTGAAAGTATAAAGCCAATGGTATGTGCAATCAATTTTCGATATCTTATATGTCTAGCATGACATGAAAACTTCATATGCATTCTGAACTTTCTATTATATGGCTTATATGACTTAACAATCCCTGAAGGATTTAAATTGCTTAAAGCATATAGAATTTCATGATCATGAAGTACTACATGCTCAGTGCAATTTGTGCACGAATGTATCTTGCTATAACTATATGCTTATAATATGATAGCAAAGGTTTTCACCTCTATGTGAAGATATTGAACTGACGATTTCAACAAGACATATGAAGACAATTCATCTCTATCAAGATGATGATTTCAAGTGCAATATATTCATTCAAGTTAATATGCCTGATTTGTTCATCAAATCTTACCAAAGATCTTAGATGGTGCACAATATTGGAATGCAAATGCTTAAGGATGTGAATTGATGCACTCATCAGGGGGAGTTAATACGCGTTGTACTCTTTTTTCCCTTACAAGGTTTGTCCACTGGGTTTTTTTACAAGGTTTTTAATGAGGCAACCAAAAACGCATATTGTTAGATATGTGTACTCTTTTTCCTTCTCTAGAATTTTTCCCCACTGGATTTTATTTTAGTTAAGTTTTAACGAGGCACATTATTTGTTGAATAGACATTCAAGGGGGAGTGTTATAAATAGAATTGTATTTATGGTGAATGTCTTATATTTAGAGAGATTCTAGGGTCATTGCTTGATGGCTAAGTCACCCTCTCCCTATAAATAGAGGATTCTATTCCATTGTAATTCATCCTATATCAATAAGAATTCTCTCTCTCTCTCTCTCTCTCTTCTCACTTTTCTTTGCTAATATTCTTCTTCTCTCTTATTTGTTTCATAACAAAAGTTCCATTTTCCTCCATTTCTTTTTCCACCATTTTCCATTCACACCTCTTTTGTTATTACTATAACAAACCCAAACAAAGGTTAAATTACTGTGTTTGATTGAAACACCCATATGCAAAATAAACATTTGCCTTAATCTGTTTCACTTGGTTATAGGTATAGTTTGATTCAGCCTAAATATGTGTATCACATAACTAGCTGTTAGACCCCTTGACAAAGCTGATCGGCAGGAGCGGCGCGCGCGGTAGTGGCAAGGATTTGGCATGATGGCCTTGCCATTGGCCTATGTGCGGGGAAAATCAACATGCAAGACAATGTGGGTATTGTCAATGGCAACAAAACTATTGCAAGGGCAAGTGTGACGGACCACACTTCGATTTGAGGGCTATGTGTGACAGGACTATACTAAAACATGAGTGGTCTGTCGTCTGCAGGCAAGCAAAGGCCAAGACCTTGACAAAACTAGGCGGGCTGGACGGAAGCTTGACAAGGCAAAACGGGAAAGACCTCGGCGCTAAGATGGGGCAGCTAGTACCAAGGCAGTGGCATTGGCAAATATATGTTGCCGTGGACTTATTTGAGCGGACTGGCACCTAAGGAAACTTGTGGGCAAACGACTTAGCAAAGGGAATGGCATCATGGCTTGGTGACTTGATGCCAAAATCAGCTTGGCATTGGCAAAAGGCGGACTTGATCAAGTAGGGGCGACTTGACAAGGACAAGCAACTGTGGCAGCGGGCGGGCGTGCGGCTAAGTCATGAGCGATGAGCTATGGCGATGGCATGAGCGGGAGCAGTGTCAAAGGCCAATTTGGCTGGGCGCAAAGCCAGCCTTGGGCGTGCAACAGCTGGCCAGAAACACGCACATGCAGCGCACATGGAGTGGTTTTTAAGTGTGCTGTGCACATGCTATGCAGTTGGGCGGTTTACAACTGCCCTTGTCCAAGAGTTGCTGATTATAGGCTAATCTATGCACGTTTTTTAGGCATGTTCCAGCATGACATGCACGTTTTTTATCATGGGGATTGTGTCCTATCAGTTGGGGATTCAACTGAAATAGGAAACAGTTTTGGGCTGACTACATTATATATATGTGTGTTAGTAACCCCAAAAACGGGCTAAGTACCTAGGGAAGGAAAAAGCAAAGATATAGGCAATAGGGTTGTCTATGTCAAGCGGTTGAGCATTGCAAAATATGTGCCATTGTCTTGCCAACGAATTGGGCAGCACGAGACGCCTTAGGCAGGGGCTTTTATAGGTCAGATTCGTGCAAGTGTCGGCTATTTTTGTGAGTTGGTGCCTGCCAAGGGTGGCGAGCACCTTGCCAAACTCCGAGAATTTTCCTTTGTAATTCATTATTATAAAAGGTTGGGAAAGGGTTCCCGTAAATCTATGTGTGCCTTTATTTATTTATGCTGCCTTGAATTTATTCTAAGTGTTAAACCTCGAAAGAAAGAACTTGGGCGGAGGCTGAAGCCAAAGTGGGACTTGACTGCCGGACAGCGGGTAGTATTTTCGGCGGACAGAAAACGCCCCTGTGACACTAGCCATGGTTACTTTGTCGGGATATGTCAAAGGCTAAATTTTTGAATAGGTAAAACCCATTATAAAATTCTTCATAAGTTTTAAAGTCACATAAAATAATATATTTAGCAAATAGTGTCAATTTAAATATCTAAAGGTGTTATAATAAATTCGGATGGCTGGGATCATTTTTTATATTTAAAATAAATATAAATTAAGAGATAATAACTTGAGAATAATCTCAGAAGAGATTCGAAACTTTAATTTGATATAATAGAATTTAACACCAATCATTACTATAGTATAGTTATATCGCTAAAGCTTACCAAACTTATGAAACTTACTTATTCGGTAAAAATTTATTTATATTGAATGTTTACATCGAATTAATAAATATTAATATATGTATGAATATAATTTTTTCCACGAAATAATTAACAACCCCATATTTCCATCTTGTTAAATTACTCAACTATGGCAAGTTAATATTTTCATATTTTTTTATTAAATTACTTAATTAATGTAAAGATTTGATTATATTTATGATTAATGATCGTTTGGACATAAGAATCTCTGAGAAAGGTGGAAAAAATTTCAAGTGAAAATGATATTTGAAATTAGAGTTGTTTTTGGACATGAATATAATTTTGAGTTGTTTTTGAATTGTGAACGACTGAGTGAAAATTTTATAATCTTTTTGGAGTTTTTAAATTTGCCGAAAAATTTTAAAATTCATCTTCAAGTGAAAATTAAAAATTTTATGGTCAAACATTTAATTTAAAAAAATATAAAAAAATTAAAAAAAAATTTGTTTATGGCCAAAACGGCTCTTATTATTTTCTTTGTCATGGTCAATTACAACCGAAAAAAAAAAGGAAACCGAAAAGGAAAAGGCATCATAACCTTTTCTAATACAAACAGAATGGTACCCAACAAATGTTAATAATTACATTTGTGTCACTACCCACGATCTTTATTCTGCAAATTCTGACACATTTTTCTCACCATCAAACCTTCCCCCTTCTTCAAACCACCCCCCCCCCCCTTCCCTCACTCTCTCCTCGGGCCCCATCCATAAACCCTTTTGTCCTTTTTCCCCTTATTTTTCAGCAGACAAATCCAAAGTAACACCGAGAAAACAAATTACACTAATAACAAGGTAGGAAGAGAGTTAGGACAAAGAATTCAATATTTGAATTCAATACTCGTCTTCTCTATTTCTGTTCTTCTTCTTCTTCTCTATCTTTGTTTACTGACAAAAAACACAAATCTCAACAAACAATCACAAATCTCAATACATGTTCTTCTTCCATTTATTAACTCCCCAGCAATTAAATAGTAAATTTTATTTTCCCACAAACTTCCATAGATCTCCACAGGTACATTGATACTTGTTGCCCCCACTCGTATGGGCGGTCCAGATTCATTCCCCTCTATTTCAAAGGTCAGTTTTTTCCCTCTTTTACTACTTTTACATTTACTACTACTTGCCAAATATAAACTCATTGAATTCCCTTTTCACTTGGGATTTGGGATTTCTGCGTTTTTTTCTTCTTTCCTTTTCACAATGCAATTCTGCAAACAGGTAAAGAGATGACCGGAGGCGGTGGAGACATACACAAAACAGTTACACTGAAAATATCGGTAATAATTATAGGAGCTACTGTATGGCTTAAGGACTGTTTGGCTACTGTTTTTGTTTTTGAGGAGATGGGGTGCAATGAGTCTAAATCAGTAGATACAGAACTAGTGATTCGTTGTAGAGAGAGGAAGGAACTGATCAAAGCTGCTGCTAATTACCGTTATGCCCTCGCCGCTGCACATATTTCTTATTTTCACTCCCTTAAGGATGTTGGTGAAGCGCTTCGGAAGTTTGTTGATGAAGAGCTCATTGTTGGCTCTTCTTCTTCGTCTCTTTCAACTCCTTCTTCCCCTTCCTTGATTTTGCCTGGTGAAAGCAAAATTAGCAGCAATAGAAGTAATGCTAGTGGAACCATTCATCATAAGCATAATAAATCTTCTGGATCTTCAATTTCAGTTTCTACGGATAGTTCTGTTTCGGATTTTCACGATGAAGACGAGCATGACCATGACCATTCTCACTTGCATTTGTCATCAGATTCATCTGACGACGACGACGTTGAGCATTTGCATCTGCAACATAAGGGTCATAAAAATAAGGGTCATAGTAATAAGGGTCATAGGAATGTACATGAAGATGATGAGCCTCGAAGGGGTCATAGGAATGTACATGAGCATGATGATGAGGGTCGAAGGGGTCATAGGAATGTACATGAGCATAGTGATGTGGGTCATGGTCATCATCATCATCATATGGTGGAAGAAGGGGAGCCATCAACTTCCTCATACCCGCAACAGACATATGGGGGGATGCCATATGGTATGATGAATCATGAGTCATATGGTATGATGATGAATCATGAGCCATATGGTGTGATGATGAATCATGAGGTTCCTCCTCCACCACAAGGATTTTGGGATCCATTTCATGGAATGAACCAACAATTTCAGGCTCCTCCTTGGGGAGGAGGAGGTCAAGGACAAGGACAAGGACAGCAATTTGGTGGTGGAAATCCAAACATGTATGCTTACTACATGAAGAGATCTTCCCCTGTGATGAACACAGTGGTTCACGAAGCAGATCCAGCGTCGTCTACGGGGTATTCCAATTCGTATTGGAGCTACCCTAATGAAAATGGTGGGTTTTTTGGATACCCAATGGCTCCTCCAACGGGTGAAAGGGGAAGTCAGAGTAATCAAGGGAAGAAGCCAAGTCCTCCAAAGGAGCCACCGCCACCTCCTTCTCCAAAGGCTTCTCTTTGGGACTCTATCAATCCGTTTGATCCTTATGATAACGGCTATTTGGGTTACTTCTCACATGAAAAACACGGTTCTGCATCAGTAAGTAGTAGTCCTAATTCGACTGAAGTGAGGGAGAGAGAGGGCATTCCTGATTTAGAAGAAGAGACTGAAACAGAGATGTATAAGGAGTACCATAAAGGAAAGAATTTGAGTAATGAGTCAAGGACAAGGCGTTTTGGGGAGGCGAATTCATCAAGAAGTAGTGACAGTGGTAGGAAATCAATGCCACAAATGCCTCATGGAGTTGATTTAAGGGGTGTAGCAGGACACGGTAGTGTGGGAAGTTCAAAGCTGGACTCGTCATTACATAATGTGGAGGGCTCATCAAGTTCGAGGGGAGTAAAATTTGAGGGTAGTAGTGGCAGGACAAAGACGATATCAACAATGTACGATTCAGGTTCTCACCTTTCGAGTGCAGAACCATCACACAGTAGTGGTGGCACAGGCTCAATTGATATCACAGAGGAAAAGAGCAATTTTGAAACGCTCGTGTCAAGAAGCCCAGAAGATGTGCATTTGAAGAAGAAAGGAGTGACTTTTGAGGTTGATGAAGTGTCAAAGAACGAGATCGAATCACCCAAGTCAAGTAGCTTGACCACATCACATGCTCATGGCACCAGGGATCTTCATGAGGCTGTGGCTGAAATTAGAGATGAATTTGAGATTGCTTCCAGTAATGGAAGGGAAGTTGCTCTGATGCTTGAGGTTGGGAAGCTTCCTTACCAGCCTAGCCTTGTTAAAGGTATGGTTCTGCCAATGTTTCTCTTGATTCAGTGATTCTGGGGTTCTTCTAAGTTTCTACTTTGTCTATCTGGTTCTTTTTTACTTTGTTTTGTTCATAAGTTATACTTATTATGGTTTAACGAGTGTAAGCTTAGTTCCGCTCTTTGTTGATGGGAAAAAGAAGAAAAGAAAAGCATAGTTCAGCTCATTTAGACTTCTTTTTCTGCCCGTGTTCTTAAATTACTTAAATCTTGTGGAAAAGGGCCATATTTGCTCCTTTACTATCGAAAACAAGATATATCTACCCTCCATTTCAGTTTCTTAGTATAACTACCTCTACCGTTATACTTTTAGATCATATTTGCCCTCCACCCGTTACATGACTTGGTCCCATCTTTAAAAAAAGACACGTGGCCAACCCTGATTGGATAAAAAAGGATCCGCCCCATTTCTAATTAAATCCCACTCGACTCATAATAATAACCCACCCTTTCAAAAAAAAAAAAAAATTAAAAATTTAAACTCATTCCCCCACTTTGGAAGAAGTTCTGGTAACAGAACGCCATTTTGATCGTAATGAAGGCTGCCGGATTTCTCTCCCATGAGTATACTTTTCTTGCATAATTCCAGTTCAACTTTCTCTTGTTCTCTTCCTCATCTTCATTTTTGCATTCTCTTCCCTGTTTCTCCACTCTTTTTGTGTATGGATTTCATGCTTCTAATGATGCAGTAACCAGTAGGCCTCTTGATTGATGCCCAGCTAATGGTTTTCGACATTCCTCCTTTTTTGGCATTACTAACATCCCCATTGTTTGCACCTTCAAAGTCTCTTCCAGTATCTGCATTATTGGTCTTCCAATTGGTGAACCAAAATCCAATCCTCTTCACTCCACCTTCGTCGCCTTCCTCCCTCTTCCGTAACACCCGGTAACACCCTTATTCCCCCGTTAACCACCACACATTTTCCGGCATTTAACTTCAGAGCAAACTCCATTTACCTCACTCCTATTCTCTCTCAAGAATTACTACAAACTTTCAGTTACTTCTTTTCTTTTTTCTTCCTCATTCCCTTTATTCCACTTTTCTCTGTCAAAGTTCCATAACTTAGCATCAAAAATTAAAGACAACTGCTACATTGGTGATGAAGTTAGCAACTTTCACCATTTTAATGACCGACCACCTCCTTACGGCTAATCTAATTTCCTCCTTTCTATGAAACTCTTATCAGAAAAAACGAGCTCAAAATAGATATAAAAGGAAAGGGAAAAATATAGGGTTTAAAGAAAGCTAGAAAATTGTGATAATTTTAAGGTGGTGGTAGTGTGTAGATTTTTGTTATTGATTTTCATGAAGTTGGGCCTTCTCTTCTGGACTTGTAGGGAAGAAGACTAGGATGGAGAGAAGGAAATACCAGAAATTAATGAGAAAAGGAAATAATAAAAGAGAAAATACCAATAAGAAAATTAAGTTTAGCGGGCGGGTCTTTTTTATCCAATCAGGACCATCCACATGCTTTTTTAAGATGGGACCAAGCCACTAAACGGGTGAGGGGAAAATATTATCCAAAAGTGTAATGGTAGGGGCAGTTTTACTCTGACACTGAAACGGAGGGTAAATATAACTTATTTTCGAGAATAGAAGGGATAAATATGGCCCTTTTCCATAAATCTTCACTAACTTGAAAACTTTCTCCCCGGAGTAACTGACAGCCCACTCATGGCATTAGTGTCATTTTAGAATTTAGATTGTTACTGCTTAACAAATTTGCTGCTAGTTTTTAGAATGCATTGTGTTAATCGTTATTTATGAGATGGGAAAATATTAAATATACCGCATCTCAATGTAAGTTGCAACTAGTTTGTCATTGTTGCACTTGTTCCCCATCTTAATGTGAATTATCAGTGTTATCAAACGCGAAAAGCGCAAAAAAGCTCTAAGGTCCGTTGGGGCTTAAAGCTCAAAGCGCAAATAAAGCATGGGTTTTAATGAAAAAAGGCGCAACGGGAGAAAAAGTAAAAATATGCATAGTACTCCAAGACTAATCATTATAAGCATGAATAACAAATATATGGACAAAGAAATTGAAAAAAAATTCATGATAAAGTGAAATATCATTTGTTTAAGGTCGCCTTTTCAGGATTATACTCATTGGCAAGGAAAAGTATGCGTTAAAGCTTTGATTCAACATTAAAGCGCCCACAAAGCGAGGCGAAGCGCGCAACGTTTGAGCCTCGCTTCTGGGCTTAAGCGCGCCTTTGACAACACTGGAATTTATGAATGTTTCCCTAGCTATTAGTAGTTTTTAATTAAATTGTGAAAAACGGAGATGGCAATAAGTTAGAAATACAATTGTTCCAGTAAGCATAGCTAACACCGTAAATGCATCCAATCGGAGAATTTTCTCTGATCAGTAGCCGCTTGTTTGCCTTTATTTGTGATTTGCCTGTTATCGCAACTTTCTTGATAAACTTCCTGGGAGAAGCATGATGACATCCTTCTTACTCCCCTGATTTTTGTGCTCAGAGCTTGTATCCAGGATTTTATACCTGATTGTCCCGTCCATGTCGGTATCGCATACGGTGACACTGAAGTCAGTTAGACTGGCTACCAAAACAAGAAAATTGGCGAAATCCTATTTTGGAGATGTTGGCCAAGACAATGTTGTGCAGCCCTGTAACCTGTCAGCTACCCTTGACGAGCTATATGAATGGGAGAAGAAACTATATAAGGAAGTTAAGGTAATGGTGGACAACTACTACTATCCTTTTTATGTCTATATGATGAGCTATTGAAAGATTCGTTTGTCTATATATTTTCATGTGTAGAATTCTCTAGAAGTGGAAAACATGGAATTTCTCATGTGCCATGTGAATTGGTATTCTCCTTAATGAATACAACCGTTTGACTGATATCTTGTTCGGCTTTTGCTATAGTTGGTTCAAGCTTAAGCAGTGTTTCTCATTCATTGAAAGTTAGCTTTTGGAGCTATTGACTCATCAATTTGATATTGGATTTCAATTCTTTATGGGACCGGTCTTTTGAAAAATTTCATCATCATTACTGCACTTTTGAATCAGGTAATTGTATCCTTGGCCCGACTGAAAGCGATCAATGAGTTAGTTCCTAGGTTAAACTTGTGTTTTTATACTGATAAATGTAACGTGTTCTCTTAACTTTGAGTCAGAAGAACATTTGATGAACCAAATACGATCATCAAATTTTAGTAGGAATCGGGGTGTTTGGATAGTTAATTACAATATCTAGTTCCTTGGGCAAAAGAATGGTGGGGGTAAGACATCTGCTTCCAAACTGGAAGCAAGGATTGAAAAAATTTCATGTTACTCATCAAAAAACAAAAAAAAAAACTCATGTTTTATGAATGTTGGTGTCCTTGTTAGAAATATAGAAGATACAATGTGTGATCAGATTGAGTGCATGAACTGAAGTGGCAATATAAAACTTTATCATCCCATAATGATGTCAAGATCTCAGAGTGCTCAAGTCGAAGATGAATAAAGAAGGCCTGAGTTCTTTATGCTTTGCTCACTGAAGTAAGGAAATTGGAATTTGTAGCAGCTTACGCCCATGATATATATTTTGACACTGAAACTTCTTTATTCAAGTCAAAGACAGGAAATTACCCTCTCCGTCCCATTTTATGTGATGGTGTTTGACCGGGCACGGAGTTTAAGAAAGAAAGAAAGCTGTTTGAAACTTGTGATCTAAAACAAGCCATACACATTTGCGTGGCTATAAATCATCTCATTAAGGGTAAAATGAGTATTTTTAAGTTAAATTATTTCTAACTATAGAAAGTATCATTCTTTTGGGACAAACTAGAAAAGAATTTGTGTCACATAAAATGGGACAGAGGAAGTAGAATATTGCCTTCCATTAAAAGGTATAGTCACTCAAATGCAGATAATCATAGTTGGATTAGATCCTTACATGTGAAGGTAAGTAGAATAAAAAGCCATCAAATGATATCTTGGTAGGACTTGGTGTTCGCATCATCCAGTAGTGTCTGGAATATTGTCAACTAATCAATATTATCAATATTCTTTTCTTAGTTGTTTACACAGAATTTCCAGTGTTCAGTATTCTTAAACAACTTCTTTAATTGAGTTCAAATTCTAGTAGCTTAAAGATCATTTATTTCCATTAAATAAGAATTCTATGAAAAATCTTACCGTTAACTATTTTGCTGACTTCATATTCTTTAATCTTCATGAAACCATCATATATTTTAAGGGCATTCTTGTTTTCGTTATTAATCTGATGGCCTGTGACAAATTCAAATGACTCATCTATTGCAGATTCCTGTATCTACTTTCTCAAGTTGAATTTTTATTATAGTGATATTGCTGTTTTGGACTTTTTGTTCATTGAAGTGGTTAGTTTGATGTAGGATGAAGAAAAACTGCGGCTCGTATATGAAAAGCAGTGTAGAAGGCTGAGAAGCTTGGACGAGCAAGGAGCTGAGTCAAGCAAGATAGATGCTACTCAGGCATCTATCAGAAGATTGCTAACAAAACTTAACGTCTGTATAAAAGCAATTGATGCAATCGCACGCAGAATTCACAAATTAAGGGATGAAGAATTGCAACCCCAAGTTGCAGAATTAATTCACGGGTATGGGTCTACTCAATTATTTCGTTAATTCTTGTATTTCATTCTTTCCTCTGTATCACTTTGTTCCCCTTTAAGATTACTGATAGTGCAACAATTGTATGTTTGCACTTTTATCCTTACTGCGGACTTGCCAACAAGATGATCACATTTGTTTGCTGAGTTCCTTCCAACCTTTTTATATAATGCATTCATCCTCTCTTCATTCATGAACATTTTCTGTTCATTTTTCCTGCCACATTATATGGTGTAGTTGGTTTTATCAAATTAGGATTTTGGAAGAAGGTTCTGCATCCTTTTTTTAAGGTTTCACTTTTAGTTTGGCGAGACAGAAGGTTGGGAAACAGACATGGCCAGAGAAGAGACAAATGACCTAATGTTAATATCTTCCTATGCCTAAAATGACGGTGCAGTCCCGGATTAGTTTGAATGCTCACAAGTAGTTAACAAATTTAGTGGTCATATATTAACTAGTCAACATTTGCGGTTTTATAAGACATTGGAAATCTTTGTGGATTGATTATGGTTAGCTTTTGAAAATGTAGATATGAATTTGAACTTCTCTCTTCAGCAAGTTAAGAAGGTTGATTGAGATATTGAGTTTTTCCAAAAGATTTGGCTGCATCACCTTAGTGTGTGAAATTATATTTTAGCTGTAGTTAGCTTAAGTGGATAGATGTACTTAATTCTTTTCTCCCCACATCAGGTAGGTGTATTTTAATTCAGCTGTTACAAAACTACTTATTTTTAAATGGTTATATATGTAAGTCATGTAAACTTATGTATTTAGCAATTGTTACTGTCGAGATCTTGGAGAGTTCTATTTGAGGATTGGAACATTCTTACCAAGGACATTTAATTTGTATCTTCAGTTGAAAAGAGTAGCTAGAAAACAAAGTATTGGATGTTTGCTTGTTTCGCAGGCTTTTATTTGCGCAATATTCAAGTTCGTTCGGTAGGATTTTTATTCATTATTTGTAGTGGATAATCTATTATCAGTATTTGTTGCTTCACTTCTTATTTCCTTTGTGTTATTTTTATTTCTCCTTTCCACATCTTGAGCTGCTATTCTGTTATTTATTTGTATTCCTCTCTTCAAGAAGTAATGTGAACCATTTTACTTGGTCATGGATTGTCATCATGAACTTAGCATTGTAATGCATGAATCTTGTTTTCTCCTTTTAAGATATAATGCGAATGTTTATTTTGTCATGCATTGTAATGTATATGAACTAAGCATGCTAATGCATTATTTACTTTTTGTTCCTCCCTTCAAGAAGTATTCTGAACTTTTACTTCTCATGCATTGTAATGCCACATGAACTTGGCATTGTAATCTATGCTTTGTTTTGTATTTCTCGCCTCAAGAATTTAAGTAAATGTTATCCCTCATGCATTCTTAATGCATCATGAACTTATAGCAGTTACATAATTTTTCCTGTTCCACTCAATTTACGTGCTGGTGGATGCACCTTTAGGCTCGATCTGATGATATACTGTATGTAAATAAGCAGGCTGGTGAGAATGTGGAGGTCAATGCTCAGTTGTCATCAGAAGCAGTTTCAAGCAGTGATGGAGAGTAAAACAAGGGCTCTCAAAGCAAATACTGCATTTCAAAGAGATTCAAGCGTGAGAGCTACTCTTGAACTTGAGATGCAGCTTTCGTCATGGTGTAGCCACTTTAATGATTGGATTTGCAGCCAGAAATCCTATGTAGAATCCTTGAACGGGTGGCTTCTACGATGCCTTAAGTATGAGCTGGAAGAAACCCCCGATGGACCTGTCCCTTTCTCCCCTGGCCGTCTTGGAGCTCCTCCAGTTTTTGTAATTTGCAATGATTGGAGTCAGGCAATGGAAGCAATTTCTGAAACTCGGGTAGCAATTGCTATGAATAGTTTTGCTACAAGTTTGAGGCAGCTTTGGGAAAGACAAGATGAGGAGCAGAGGCAGAGGATCAAAGCAGAATATCTCTCAAAGGACTACAAGAAACGGCTAACCATGCTTCAGAGTAAGAGAGGGAGCGTGAAGCATGAGCAAGATGCAATGTCCGACAGAAGTCACATAATTGTTCCATCCGAAAAAGGCATTTCACCATTGGACGATCTAAAGGTGGACTTGGATATGTTTAAAAAGAAATTAGTGGAGGAGAGAACAAAGCACAAGGATGCCATTAAGTTAGTGCATGATGCAGCTTCTAGTAGTTTACAGGGGGGTTTACTTCCAATTTTCAAGGCTTTGGAGAACTTCACTTCGGAAGCTCTGAGAGCGCATGAACAAGTCAGGTTACAGAGTGTTAGAGACAGTTCATAGGCAGCGTTGGCATCATTTTCACAATTGGATCCTAACTTTATTCCTATTTGGATAACATTCACGGTGACTAGTTAGAGAGAATGATATATTCGACAGTAACAGCAATTCACGCAGAGGATGCTCTTGGTTATGCAGTGGCTATAAGAAGTTTAGCTTTTGAGACTATAAGTTTTAGCATATTGACTGTTAATCATTAAGTTCAGTTTTGTCTGTTGATGTTAATAGGTAGGTACTTGTATAGTAATTCATTTATTTGTTGATTGGGTCTTATTGGTGGATAGTTTTATCCATAGGTAATTTATGCTGGATGTATGGTTTATCAGGGTTGGGGAAGGGATGCACTGTGGAAGTTAGTCCTAAGTCTGTGTCAGGGTAGGGTTGATGAATGAAAATTTTGGCAATGATGCAGAAAATAAACTCGTTCTAGTTTCCGTCCTATCGAGTTAAGGTCCCTGCTCTATTATGGTGTGGAATGCATTTTAATCATGACCAATCCCCCCTCCCCCCACCGCACTCGCACGTACCTCTTCCTTGTTCTATGCGATCAACAACAATAATCCAGTATAATTTCACTAGTCCACTGGTGGGGTCTGGGAAGGGTGTAGAGAGGCTATTTTTGAAAGACCCTCGGCTTGAATATCATCACATGTAAAATTTCAAGTATCGATAACGTTATTCCTCCTCCCGTAGTTGGGGGAACAATGAAAGAGAAATTGTGGGACAAAGCAGAGATTGAAATGAAACAATTATGGGTAAATGGAAAAACTGACCGCTCCCAGTAGGTCGATGAGTCTGTTTGGATGTCTTTGTTTCCTCTCGGGGTATGATGCGCTTTGTTTCCTTGCGTGGTGCTTTCTTCTATATAATCCTTATTGTGCAAGAATTATATTGTATGTTAAAAAGATGGTCAATGAAGTCTTCTTCTGTCTCGTGTGGTACCTACTGCTGTGGTTCTTCTCCTCCCTCTCGCCATGCTCTCGGGGTTATTGCTTAGATGTCCAGGGAGCTATTTTGGGTAGTCCTCCACATCCATGCAAGCGCGGTAAAGCTTCTCCTGAAGCAAAGCACTGGGCAAATTGGGTCACCAGTTGGGATGAGAAGCCAAAATTTCACGGTATAGCTAGTTTTCGGACTGGTCAATCAAAAATAGCCAGCGTTTACCAAGTCAATGAAAAATAGCCACCGTTTTGCTGCAATAGAGACCGGTCCGGCATAATATACTGGAGTTCGGTGCACTTGTGTATGAACTCCAGCATATTATGCTCGACCGGTATATTTTGCTGGCTCCAGTATAATATACTGGAGACTGGAGCACTGGTGCTCCAAACTCCAGTATATTATACTTGCTGGAACTCCAGTATATTATGCTGGAGTTCTAGTGTATTTATGTTGGAACTCCATCATATTATGTTGGAGTTCCAGCATACTATCCTGGAACTCCAGTATAATATGCTGGAGTTCAAGTATACTTATGCTGGAACTCCAGCATAATATACTGGAGTATTTTCCGGGTTTTGAACAGTGTTTTCGCTCAGATTTATCTTTACATAAAAAGTGGCTAAATTTCGATTACTTTTGAAATTGGGCTATTTTTGAACGACCAGTTGTAAATCTGGCTATTTTTAAAAATCACCCGGATGAGAATGGCTCTAACCTACATGCAGCATTTGATGAATGTCCTCTAGTCTCGTAAGTTCTCACCAAATGTCATTCCTTGGGTTGGGATCGATTCTTGTTATTCGATACAACAAGGTCAAAGAAGTAGCTAGTACTCATTTGATTGACCTCCTTTTCAAAGTTTATGTGTGCTCATGCACCTTTCTCTACCTGAGTGGAGTTGGCCTAATGATGTACTGGGACTTGGTTTTCACGTTTCCTTCTAAGAGAACTTCAAATGAACGTAACACGTATGAGTTCTTCTAATATGCGATCTGCTATGGGTGTGTCTATGTTGGAAATTCGCTCATGTGCATCAGAATTCATTTGGTTCCTTGCTTACATCATATGCCCTTCTCGGCATCTACATACTCCGTTGAGAGGAATGATTGCCCCCTTATACAACTCTCGGGGCTCGTTACGAGTGTCAATGCAATGCGTCAGTTTGAGCGTTCCTCTCCAATTATGTTTCCTCAGGTGATAGAAGTACATAAACTCATCAGTTATGCTGATGGGTTGTAGTTTGGAGCATCTTCAATTGTCTGCTCTAAATGAGTCTCAGAAAATGGAAACAAAAAGCGTACATCTTGCTGAGAAGAACATAATTGGGAGAAATAGTTCACTCTTACCAAGTACAAGCCAAATCTTGCTATTAATGCGTGCAAATCTACTACATTTTGAGAGATTATATTAGTTTAAAAAATATTAGAAGAGATAATCATGAAATAACACAGTGAAGAAAGAAAGAGCACCAACTCAAGCAAACTCCACTCCACCTCTACATAACAGTGGAAACTGGAGAGGCCAGTATTTATCGTTAAACAGAAACATTTAGTTACCAAGTGTAACCGGAAAGCTAACTCAAGTAAAAAGTAAGTCTAAAAGGAAGAGACATTCAAGACAAGTTTAAAGGGTTTTCACTTTGCTTCGTAAATAACTTAGATGATAGTTTCTCCAGAAAAACATTCATCACGCTGAGATGCACTACTCAAACTATTGAGACTAGCTACGATACCTAATCCTCAACAAAACCTTATCAGAAATATTTGTTACAGACCATGGTAAAAAGGGGCTATTTTTGGGGTTGTGATGGCAGGGGTTTGGGGGGTGGGATGGGAGCGGGGTTGGAAATGTAGCCCACGGTGTTTCCTCACTTCATTGGACCTGGTAAATGGTAAGGCAGCCAACACAATGCCAAATGCCTTGGGAACCTTCAAAATCTCCTCTTGTTGCTATTCTTCCTGGCAGAGGCAAAGAGGAAATTTAGACACCATAAAGCAAACAAAAACTAGTCAAAACTTAATTCCAAATATATAAGCCACGTCTGAAAGCAAGTTAGAATCTTTCCTACATTGCGAAGTAAAGGAAGGAAGGTAAAGTTCAAGAGCTTAATCCTTCTCCTGGTTGGTTAGTACAAAAAGAAAACAAATAGAAATATTGTTTTATTCTTAGTCCCATTGATAATTCTTGTTTCCACTCAAACCAAACACAACAGGGAAAAACCACAGAGGAGAAAATATACATGTCTTCAGCGCAAGTTCATTTAATTTCTTGTCCATTCATTCCAACAACTATCAAAATTTACCTCAATATCACCATTTTTAGTAATGCTGAACAAAACATTATGTATTGGTTGAATTACAGGTAAACTTCAAAGCAGATGACACAACTCCAAATGCAGCATATGACAACTTCAAATGATATGTTTTACTCCACAAGTAGTAATAATGTTTTGACCTAGAAGTTCGGTTACCTTTACTTATAGCTCCTCTTTTCTCGAACCTTGGTCCGCAGCTTTATCCCGATTCTTGTGGATGAAGTCAATAATGTCTTCCTTGGTCCTGTCACCTTCATACTGTGAGATCTTTCCACTTGCTGTCTTGAAATAAAGAGTCGGATAACCTTGGACATCAAAAGTTCCCTGGGGAATATCATTAGCAGTAGCATCCTACATAACAGCAAAAGATGACTTTGTTAGCAATTTCCAATATTCAAATTTCAAATATTTACACAAGATTGAAGTAGCTACCCCCGAAAAGGAGGAGCCAACCTGTACGCTAGGGCGGAAAAACAGCAAAATTAAAGAGGTAAAAGGCATGAAATACTCTGCTTCTAAGAAAAATTAAGTGCAACAAAATTTAAGCACGTTGTTTAACAAGTTGAGCGCAAAAATTTTGTTAGGTAATAATGCATGAAGATGCAAAATGAGGCACGTAATCTCCAAGCTTATACTAGCAAGCAGATACTTGTTGCCTCATGCTTGATCTTTTTACCTTCATTCGTATGCAGGCTATGCTGGTAAGCACTCAACCCTAGGTATTGTCTCATCAGTGTTTACATCAGATAGTACTTTGTCCGGATTGGGTGTTAAACATTTTTGTTAATTGGGACCAAATTTTATACAGTTTTACATAAAGAACCCGCTATCACACATTATATATGACAAAAAGTTATGTAAAACAATTTTTTAACTCCTGAACTTTTCTTTCCCTAAAACCAAATACTATGTGCCCAACATGTTCCTCCAATTTTACTGTACAAGCAATAAACATACTCAAAATACACAATATATTTCAGAACCATGACAGAATAAAGAGCTTTGAGTAGGAATCTCACAATTTTAGCTATCATAACATCAGCATCGCTTTCAAATGAGACAGCCACTTCATCAAGGATCGGGGCCAACTGCTTGCAGTGTCCGCACCAAGGGGCATAAAACTCGAGGAGTACTATAAGAAACAACCACAATAATCATCAAAATGCATATCCAGCAAAATTTCTAACAAAAGAACATGTTTGAGTTCAGGCATATGAACAAGACGAACACAAGGAGTAGGATGGAGCACGGAAGAAATTGAACTACACCACATAATTGACTCGTAACTGTCCACGTGGCAGTTATAAAATGTCATACTGCACTTAAATACATTTGTGATACGACTGTTTGATTAATACTATGTCACATTCCGCAGATGATGATCTTGTACCATATGTTTAATTCTGTCACTTATCAACATTTTCTGAACAGCTTAATCAGAGCAAGTTGGAACAACTAAACTCAAAATCACGACCATTGTAAGTCCGTCTAGTATGCTTTTAAACTCAATTTATATCATGCTGAACAGCCATGCGAAATAACGAAATATACAATTTGAAGTTCAGTTGCTTTACTGCATAAGAGTGCATGACAGTCTTACAATAAATTCTATATGAAGCACTAAGATGGAACTGAACAAAATGTCAACAGTATTTGAACGTTACGTAAGGAATACCATTCTTCGCAGAGTTGAAAACCATATCCTGGAGAGTGTCAGCAACCACAACTTTAACAGGTTCGCTGTTAACCTCTGGGATAGGTTCTGATTTCTTGAAAGGTTTCGCCTTGCCGTCCTGAAATATGATGTGAGTAAATATTTTAGAAACATTATAAGAAAAAAGTTGCCCACAGAAACAATGCTTCTTGAGAACTTCTCTTTACATGCAATTTGTTCACATCTCAAGCAAAACTTAGAATTTCTTTAAGAGAAATTCAGTTCATCATTTCAAGAGGTAAAACTAAGGATATGTAAAATGAATTTAAAAGGACTGGAGAAACAATTAATACAAGAGAAACGGGTAAAAGAAAAGGCAGAGTGCTTCATTACCTTAAAATCCTTAACCCATGAAGCAATATGATCAGGCTCAACATTTGGTTTGAGATACTTCTCCCCATCATTTGTCTGTATGATGATTAGAGGTACCTGATCTTCTTTGAGTCCAAAGTACTGCTCAACAAAGCCAAATATATCATCATGTTAACGTCAATAACAAGAAATGATTCAAACACAACAAATACGAAACCTAACCTGGAAGGCACCTTGACTGGCCTCAACATCACCAATTAAGAAACTAATATCATTGCCTTTGTACTGCTCAGCAACTTCATGATACTTGGATTTAAAAGTATCAATTAGGTCACTGTTGAAGTTTACAAACAGCATGGCCTGCCAATGTCATACTCATTTATTAGAAACTGCTCGAAATTAATAGGGTAATGGGGAGAAAACGGGGACAATGCCTCCAGCTCTAAATAGTACAGCACAAAGAGATAATTGGAACTAAACTTCAATAAGGAAACCAGAGTTGGGTACATAAAGTGCATATCCAGTACAGCAATAGTGGAATTACGATAGCAGAACCACCAGAAGATATGCTATGTCAGAAGTAGACCCATTTTCGACTACAGCTCTAGAAAGTGCAAGCTAGCAGGAAATTAAACAAGCAGCCGCATGAGAAACAACTTTACTTGATACATATACTTTTGGAGCCGACAAAATTTTCAGAAAAACACAGATGAAGTTCTTCTATCCATTCTTTACTCATCTATCTTTGCTCATAGTAGTTGTCATCATACATGAAGAGTTCATACTGATAACATAAATGAAAGAGCAACTTAGTATCAGGGCAACAAAACATAATAATCTAAAAAGTGAAGAAAATAATTTGAAAGAAAAATCTTGATCCACATTTACTCTCCTATTAGCAAACATCGTTGCTCCAAAACGTAAAACAAGAGACACCACCTTCGAATAAGAGATTTGGTAGCATATTGGAGAGCAGATACGGGTTTAGACAGCAACAAGACTAACAGAGTCTGCACATGCAATGTAAAACTGGTAAACTAAGTAAATGGTGCACCTTGGCATTTGGACTGTTGAAGAATTTGATAACAAAAGGATGGTTATTGGGGTCTTTGTTAAATAGAGTCACAGTTGGAATGCTTGCTGCTTCAACTAACTTTGCTAAGGTATCCACATCGAAATCCTGCAAGTACATGTGATCATAAGTTGAAACATTGTCTAGTACATCAGAAAATGTACAAAACTTTTACACAGATCCAATACCTGGAAATCTACAAAAAGTTCATCAAAAGGCTTGAATAACCTAACAACAGGGCCTGAAACTGATGAATCCCCTCGAGGAAGGAGTTTAGCATCCAAAGTATGAGCAAACTCATAGTCAGACCGCAATCTTTCAGCCAGAGCTGTGAAATTCTCATATTTCTCGCCAGAGAACTCTGGGAAAACCCCAACCTATAAGAATTTCAAACCATAATGTCAACTCCCATTCAGCAGATCTCTTAGGGGTTAAAACAATAAAAGAAAAACATATGCAAACCAGTGGGAGCAATTCTGGGTGTTTGTGTATCGGGTTACTCTGGTGTGAGCATATGTGTTTGGGTGTGTGTACACATATATAATGAGAGAGATACAGAGGGGAGGGCACTTACGATAATGATCTTATTGACATCAATAACATCATCAGCAGATTTAATTTCAGCAGAAGCAGGACCACTTTGTTTCTTTAAGTAAGAAATGATACCATCCGCCTCACGTGGTCCTTTGTAATCTTGAATAACGCTTCCTCCATACCTCAAGATCTTAATTGTAGGGAAACCTTTTATATCAAACTCACTGGCAAGAATCTTGTTTTGCTCCTCATTAGCATCAACTTTGGCCAGAATAACAGGTGGATCGTTCTGACTTAAAATTTGTGCTGCTTTCTCATACTGCAAATTACAAAGTGAAGTGTTTAAATGCATTGCACATACTTATGCTCCAAAACCCTATTACCTTTTATAAGATTCTAAAGAATGTGTCAGTGGTTCTTACCTCAGGAGCAAGTTTCTTGCAATGACCACACCTATAAAATATCAAAGTAATTAATAAACATGGTAAGAAATAATTGCTCTAATTTGAGGCATACAATTTCCTTGTGACTTAAATAGAGACAGACATCGCAGATAAGAAGAAAAAAAAGTGCAGCTTATTTTGTTGATTCAATAAAGAAAATGCACTAAAGCATCTAGCTTTGACTGTTTGGTCAAGCTGCATAATAATGTAAAAATAAACATCAGTCATGATTTCATCATTCCTTGGTGAAATTTGTCTCCATGTATTTGCTTACCTTGAGTTTTGAAATCCAATGATAAGACTTTTTCACCAAAATGGTACAATGACTTTACTCACTTATGAGCAGAAGTTCCAACTCTTACTCCATATCACTTACTTCATTCAATACTTAACACATTTTTATCCACCTTTAGTACTCAAAAATATCCCGAAAACACTATCCTCACAAATTATTCTACGCCTTGTATAAATACCATATGTCTCTAACTTCTACATCAGAATTAAACGCAAGAAAAGATTTCCCAAAGTAAAATACTTCCCACAGAGGAATATTTTCATGAAAACCATTTCCCTTAATTAAAAAAGGGCACCCTGGATCTGATAATCTCCGTAACATCTGTTTAAGCTCTTACTTTTCAAACAAAAGACCAATCGACTATCAATAAACAAAAATATCCCAAAAAATCAGTCCTTTAAGGGAAAAGAAAAACAGAAAATATCTGAATCTGAAAGATACGTTATAGAGAAGCTACAGATTCAAAAACTACGGACAGTAAACTGAAAGTGTAATTAGTGAAATTTACCAAGGGGCATAGAACTCGACGACGATGAATTTGTGTTTACCGACGAAATCAGAGAAATTGGAGTGATCCAGTGTCACAACGTACTCCTTCTCTTCGCTCTCAGAAGCATAAGAAAGCGATCCTAGCAATGCGTAAACGCAGAGAAATAAGGAAATCCATACCCTAATCGCCATTTTTTCACTCTTATCTCTTCTCTCAGCTCACTGAAAAAATTTCTTCAGTTTCGTTTCTCATTGTGGATCTCAAGAGGATTTTATATAGTTAGTAGTATATTTGCTTATGGGAACTCTTTAACTGTGCGAAGATCTGCCATCTATCAAACATGAAATGTCAAAAATGCCCCTGTTATTTTACCGTAAATTCTGTAAATTCACTAAATACTAGTTATAATATTCTTTTAATGTCTACACTCAACAGAAATTGAATTTTGTTTGATTGAAACATTTTATCATAGATCATTTTATTTGTATAAATTTTCGATCTCATGTTAAAGAACTTGCACTTTATATTTGCCTTTCCTATATTTTTTTATCTAATTAAAAAAGGTAAAATATGCTCTAAACGTTTATCTTTTGTGCGTGTAGATTATATTTACGTAAAATAAGAAGTAGAAATATTTTCCTTCAATTATTCCAATTCTAAATGATATGTATTTTGTAATATAAAACATTGATACCAAGCATCAAGTTGGTCGTTATAGTTTGTATTAATAAGTTCTTTTTTTATCTTGTTTTCTTTTTTTCTTTAAAGCAGCTTAATGAGCAGTGACGGAGGTAGTGTTAAAGTGACGAGTTCAATTGAATCCATAATTTTTGATGCGGAGTATAATTTTATAGGTAAAAATTTATTAAATTTATAAAAAATAATAGATATGAATGCATAACTTTAAAAATATAATGGACTCAATATTAAAAATCTTAAATATTGAACCCATAAAGTATAAATATTATATCCGCCTGTGTTAATGAGTATGGGTTTTTTCACAGTAACATTTTGTTACTCATAGTACTATTTTGACAAGAAAATAAAAAAGGTGAAGGACACCATGTTACGAATTGAAAAATTGGAGTAGGTAGAACATATTTGCTCTAAGTATTTTATGTCAAAACTATATTTTTTTGCTAATTTAGGTAACAAGTGAGGAGGGTACTAAGGTCATTTAGAGGAAGTAGAATTCCTGGACTCCTTTTCGTGATCCAGGGACCCCAAAAAAAAAGAAAAAGAAAAAAGAGAGGTGCAGTTAGAGAACGGGACAAACATGGTACTGACGCGTGACTGAAAATACAACACTCTCGAGAGTAACGTTAACAAAATATACTTCACTCTATGCTGTGTCATATGCAACACGTGGAATAAAACAATTTGTCTTTTGATCCGACGTGGCAAATGAAGCACGCCACCTGCTTCCGCGTCACGTGCGCACTTAACGTCGTCTCGTTGTGAGAGCCGCAGGTGGTGCATGTGCTTCGATCGATAAGTGGCGTTAGCCTTGATACAAGCGGCGAAGCCCCAGAAATATTTTTTTTTCTTTGTTAAATAGAACTGTTTAGATATGCAATTTCAGAAAATATTTTTAACATTGGGCAAACCTCAAAAGCTAAAATTATATGAAAATTCTGATTTAACTATATGTGAGGACAATAATATGCATATCCAAAGTATTCTAGCCTAGCGTTTAAAAATAGATTTGGTTGAAATTTGAAAAAAGAGTTTTTAAAATTATATTAAAAATTATTTTCAAAAGTTGAAGTTGTATTTGATTAAAACCTCTGACTATATACGTTATAATTGCAAAGGGGTCCGGACTTGGCATCGTACTGAAGCCACCCACAAGCAATATAGTTAAACAGTCTATAGGAACTGTAATATTAACTAACAACAAGGCCGAATATGAGGCAATGATTGCAGGTCTCGAACTAGCCAAAGGCTTGGGGGCGGAGGTGATCGAAGCTAAGTGTGACTCCCTCCTTGTAGTAAACCAAGTTAACGGAACGTTCGAAGTCAAGGAGCTGAGTATCAGATTCCTATATGCAACAAAGAAATCAAATGACGAGTCCATGAATATGAGCCTAGAGCTATTGGATGAAAGGCATGAAGTCGCCCTTAATCGATTGGCCGCCCAAAAGCAACAGATCGAGAGGTATTAAAATCGAAGGGCCAACCTTCGATACTTCAATGTCGGGGACTTAGTACGAAGTAATGTCACACTAAGCACCCGGAATTCGAACGAAGGGAAATTGGGTCCGAATTGGGAAGGACCATACTAGATTCTCGAGGTCACAGGGAAAGGATCCTATAAGCTCGTAATGACAAACTGAGAACAACTACCGAACAATTGGAGTGTAACTCACCTAAAACGATATTACTGCTAAGGTACGGCCCCATTTCATTTCTTTTTATTTTAGGACTAACACTTGCAGGTGGTCGACAAGGAGTGGCATGAAGCAGTAGGTCTGAAAGCACGCGTTGCACTCTTTTTCCCTTGAACCGTTTTTGTCCCAATTGGGTTTTTCGGCAAGGTTTTAAACGAGGTAACAGTGGATTGTGCTAACTTAGAATCAAAGGCCGATCATGAATCGGTGTTGAAGACAGCACTAACAGTATCTGAGGTTCCTCTACAAGCAACCTCGAATACTGGGGGGGCATTACCCTTGCGAGGAAATTACTTCGTAATAGAAGGGTCTCGATATGTAAGATTTGATGTAAGGGCCAAACGATCAAACGAACCGTGCCCGCACAGGTTGCTCGAGCTCTGGCATAAAATACTACGCATGTATAACTGTTTTGCAAGAATAAAGAGAAGTATTTTCCTTGCAATTATCTTATGTCTTAGAAAAATTTCCTCTTTACAATTTCGTACTTTCGATCTCTTAAGGAAACGAGCTCAAGGATCGATTATAACCAGAGTTGGGATGATCACTCCCTCACTCGGGGACTGCTGTCCGATAAACAAACTCGAACAGATCGAACTATTAAATGTCGGGGGCATAAGACCTCTTAGGCAACCCCCGAATATTAAAAGCCACGGCCATACCCACTTGGGGATTGTTATCTTAGGCAAGCCTGGATAACTCGGGAAAGCAAGCTCAGTGGGATACACCTGAGTTAAAAGGCTACGACAATATTAACGTTTAGCTCAGAGACATCGAGAACCGTAACAAAAAATAGGCCTTCAAAATTTTCATAACCAGTTTTAAAGGCTACCCTCGGCAAACTATAATCTGAGTTACTTACTTTGGGAGAAGGTTCCCGGTAACACCGAACCTCCAAGACGCCTCAAAAAATTTAATGGCCTCTACAAGATTTGAAGCAGCAAATATTAAAAGCTGAAAAAAACATTATGGAGATAACGCAAACCACACACAAGGTACACAATCCTTTCTTTCAAATATCTACACCTTATAAGAAAGGGGTAACAAATCAGTGTGTTATAATGGTATATGTAGTGGTAAAAAATAACACGTCATCGACACGTGCTTGACCTACTAGCCGGGGTGAACCTTTTCTCTTCAAGGCTCAACGTCCGTCTTCAATTCTTCAAACGTAGGATCATATTGAAAGAGTTAGGGAGAAACCAATTTGTTGATTTACACAGTCACACAGGTGCATGATACCAAATAAGTTAAAGCCTAAAAGGTCTAATTTATGCTAAGTATACACCCTAGTATAAAAAGAAAGTCGTGTTAACTTACTCAGGAAACAAAACAGCATTTAGACATGTTATGAAAAGCACAAATTTGATAACTACCCTAGAGTCAAATAATTACTTAAGGAATTTGGAATCAAACGAGCCAAAGACCTACTGAAAGACAGCTGATTCCTGCCGAAGACATGTCATTTTCCGAGAAATAGAACATGAAACATAAGTAGTACTTCACCTTGAAGGTTCAATCTTGTTATTACACCTCTTATCTCCTTCCTTATCGATATTTTTGGTGTTGCAGTTGTGGCCCAGGTGTCGAACGTAGTTCCTGAACTCAAGGAATGGGTCGAGGGCCTTGTGTCACAAAGACCATATTCCGAGCATGCTTGGATGGAGTTGTCGAAGGTTCGATGGGAGGCTCAAAATCACGGTAAGTTTTCCTCTAATTCAATACTATTTGTTTTTCTCCTTGTACTGTTGAATTTTTATCTGCTCTGTTTTCTTTTGTAGGTGTCCTCAAAGACGTTGCTATGAGGCCTCCATCTGGTGATGAGGATGTGCCTCTCAAGCCCCCTGCTCTGAAGTAGGGTGACGATAAGAAGAGAAAAAGGGTATCGAGTTCCCCGAACTCGGAAAAGAAAAAATCGAAGAGGAGGTCTCGCAAGCCCATGGGGAGCTCCGGCGCTCTATCCTCGGACTCAGTCCATCGACTAAGGAATGAGTCTAAAGAAGAAGAAGAAGAAGAAAAATCCAAACTAGTGGACCGCGTGCGGGCTGGTGTCATGATCCAAAGGCTCTCGAACAGGCGGGTGCTGAAGTTGAATCATCTCGACATGAGGAGGTCGGTGAGAGAGCTCTAGTTGAAGCTCTCGAACCAGAAGGGGGTAAGGCCATTTTGCCCCAAGTTAGGGGGGGTCGAAAGGGAGACCAGAGCTGACACTCCTCGAGCATAGGAAAGTTCCCTGAAAGACGCGCTCGGGGTGATTGACATTACAGAGTCTCCTCAGTTCTCGGATGCTATGATCCGTGAGGCAGGTATGTTAGAAGATCATATTCACGAGGGGCCTCTTGGATAGGTTTGAGCCTACTGCCTTCGAGGATATCACTAAGCTCGGAGACTTTCCGGTGCCAAAGAAGGTACCATCGCTGGGAACTAGTTGGTCTTCCTCAAGCCCAAAATTGGTGAATCGGTTCCCGGCCTCGAGTGTCGATCCTGACTGAAGACGGTCAATAGCTTTCTCTATCCCGGAGGATGCCCGGGTTTTCTCTGCCACGTAGGGGTCGCTAGCTACCTTCGTTGCTTGGTGACCAAAGAAGATCAGGCAGTGATGGACAAGGTGGAAACCCCCTGCCTATTCAATGAAGCCCAACAAGAATTAAATCGGGTAACTTTGTGTATCTTTCTTCTCATATATTCTAAATTTAAAGTTGTAAATAACTATAACACCTTCCCTTATGCTTGCAGGCTTCGGTGCTGCATCATGAGACTTTCCTCTGATACCAGGAGGAATTAACTTACCACGAGGTCGGGGTTCGGGATCTCACTGAGAAGATGGACACCTACAAGCTTCTCAGTGATAAGCTTTAGGCCGAGTTATAAATGGCTCGGAATGAGTA